TCTGACTTACGTAGTAGTATGAGTTATTAATCGCATGATTATTTGATATTACTGATGAGATGTTGTATTGTGGTATATTATGATTTTTCTGGAAATTATACAGGTGTTGCAGTGAGGGGTTATAATGTTTTATATGGTTTCTATTAAAATCTTACTTACAGGGCCACTTACCTTTGTCTTATCTTCACCCTCCAGGTTTTATCAGCTGAGCTTTCTTATCGTCGAAGATTCATGGCGATTCTTAGTATTGGAGATTATTTCGAGGGTACAATTCTTAATTCACTCTTCTGTACTTACTTATGTTGTAACGTTACGTGTGAAGTGGGTTTATTCCCGCTCACCAGTGCACTCTGGTATTTAGGCACTCTTAGGTTTAAATTTATTCACAATTTTTCCACATCATCACACTTTATGGCTTCGTCACCTTCCAGGTGTCGGCCAATACAACTCGATTTGGAGTCCTAGTGGACATTTCGGATCGGGGTGTGTTAATATAAGAGATTTTGCTTATTTGCATTTATGATATTAAATTTTCTAAGATAATCGGATAAATATACTATATATATGTATATGTATATATACATATGTATATTCTGATATGGTAGGAAACGAAAATAAACAGGAAAATGCATAAAGGCAAATTTGCAAAAATGGAATACTCAACTTCATCTATATAAATACCCAAATACTCATGAGTTGGTATGTGCATAAACATGTCGTCTTACTAACAAGGTTTTGGCTTTCGTACAGAAAGATATGGTGAAGGTTCTAAATTCTTCTGAAAGCCACGATTAAGAGGAAGATGATTCTACAACTGGAATGCATAATCAAATCGTTGATTTACCAGAGGTATAATTAGTAATAATCCAACCTGTTTATCTTAATTAGGACTATGTCTTGTTTGATCATTATACTCATTAACAACCTCTTTACATAAAACGTTTACCAAATGTTGACGTTGATTTTTATACTTACAACACTTTTGCAAATTCAGTTTACCTTAATCCTAAATTATACTTACATTTATAATCAAGAAGAAAATTTTGGCTCTTTTTACTTCTCACTCATCTCTCTCAATTTTTAATCGCCGAATCAAATAAATTGAAGAATATCAATTGGCAAAAATTAACCATATGTATGACAGGTCAAAATAAGTGTGTGAATAACATTTTCCTTTTATTTTTGTGCCAACAAACATAATGGTCTACTTGGAATCACATATATCAAATCTTAATTAAAATTTTACCACTTTCTCTCATGTTTAATGACAAAATGCAACATACATGATGCAACCATCTATGGTGGAAAAAGATCGTCCACCAATCCTGTCAAATCAAGATCAACCACCAGCAATGGCAGACAAAGATCAGCCACCGGCCATGGAGGATCAAGATACACGACCAGATTGGTTGCCTTCAACGTTGGTTTACTACACCGTAACTCGTAACACCCCCGAGACTGACTTTTGGTCACGTTGACAATGTATGAAACAAGTACTAATACACTTTTAATGTTATAGGGTCGCGATATTTGTACATACAAAACTGACTCACTCTCTAATACATTATTGTGAAGAATACTTTCCTAAATTTATGTTTATTTTTAGAATTGAAACAATTTTTTATGTTGTTCTTATTGTTTTAATTTTTTTTTTCAATATTTATTTATGACTAAGTAACTGCTAAGTTAGTGTATGCAGCCTCATAAGAATTAGTAATGCACACTGACATTGATCTTGCCAGCAAACATAACGGTCTACATGGAAGGTACAAAACTGAATAAAGCTAACCATTTTACATCACAATCACATCTAGCAAACTTAATTGAAATTTTATTACTTTCTCTCACGTCTAATGACAAAAATAACTTTAGTCATTGTAAGAGCAAGTTAACGATCCTTATTGGCTGTTTTCAATTTTTGCGTAACAGTTTACGTTGACATATCACCCAACGATGACTTTGACCTGAATACATCGTCGGATGAATCATTCAAATCGCATGCTGAGGTCATCTATGACGACAAAAATAATCAAATATTGGACATGATGCAACCATCCGTGGTGGAAGATACACGACCAAATTGGTTGCCTTCCGCGTGGGTTTACTACAACGTAAACCACAGCAACCCAGAGACCAAGACATTAATCTGGTCATGTTGACAAGGTATGAAACAAGTACTAATACACTTTTATTGTATTAGGGTCACACAATTTGGACACATCAAACTAACTCACTCTCTAATACAAATATGGCGCGCGCACACACACACAATGGTAAGTTCTCCTTTATTTTAAAGTTTTTCAGCAAGTATACATGTTTTGTGAGTGCAAATAGTGACATAGTTGTTCATACACTCTCCAATACAAGTGAGACCCGGATACAATAGTAGGCCCTCCCAATATTAAAAAGAGCGTGTCAATTTTGTCAATTCACATATGCAATTGTTGAATATTAGTCACTGCTTTTCCATAAAAACTAACTCACGCGTTAACATTTTTGTGCAGTATTATAAAAGCCTGAAAGGAACAATGCATCATTCCGAAAAGTCTGTCAAAAAATACCTTGGAATACCGCATCAATCCAGAAAGTATGGAAAGAAGGCAATCACATAGATCGGTTATAACAAGAATGAACAATGGTACTTTAAATACATTGAATTTTTTGGTTTTTTTTTGTTTTGAACAAAATATCATTTATATTAAGAGGGAGGGGTGGACTTAGCCTTACAATGAGCTAACAATAATGTAGATTGTAGTACTAAGTAGCAAGTAATTGAAGTCTCTTATATGTTAAACATGTTTGAAATTAGTAATATTTAAATTTTACTATTTAAAGCATACTGGTGGGTGTATAACAACATTTGAGTAGCAACAAATGACCAAGGAACCCCAAATTCACTAGCATCTCAGCATCGATCGAGAAAGTTGAAAATTTTTAATTTTTTTTTTTCATAATTAAGCCCTTAAAATTGTGGGATGGATTACCATGAGTTAGGCATCGACAACTATGGCTATAAAATTATGAATGAACAAAAAATGTAACATTTCTTAATATGATATATTTTTTCTAAAATGCCTCGTGCAAATTTTCTTTTTTCCTTTATTTCAATAACTCAACATAGTATTTATGAATATATGGGAATGATTTTTCTTTATACATTGTATCCAGCCTTAGAATAATACAAAATTTAAAAAACAAATCTGATATAGAAGGATTTTTTATGCACAAATATGAAAGAAATTGAAGCAAAAAATTAAAGTATATTTGATTTTGCTTCATTGCATTTATCATATTCAAAACAAAATGAACATAACAAGATTAATATAAAAAGATATACAAAATATATGGTAAGAAATGAAAAAAAAGAAAAATATACAAAAGAAATTGCTCAAATATGGTATACTAGGGATTTGTCACTTAAATGTTAATAGCATCAATTTCAAAAAAACACTTTAGCAACTTTTAGTAATAACGAGGACAAAAATGTGGAGATGGTAGAGTATCGTTAATAAGTTGAAGTTTGACGATGCCGACAATTGTTTTTTCATAAAACTGGCAACATTAACTTATTTATGAAATTGCCACCACCTCTTATCCTTCTTATTAAAGAAAATTCGTGAATTGTTTTTGAAATTAAAATAAAGGTTTGTGAGTCCCTTTTCATTGATTTTCTAAAATTATTACCAAGATAGTGTCATTTTAGTTTACCATACAAGCTTATACAAAATACATTACAACGTGTCCATCTCTAGAACTATACATTGATAAGGATGAAACTAAAATGGCAAGTAACATCTCGATTGAATCTTGGTGGGGAACCACCGCTAGATAGACTTGACCAACAAACCTATAGCTGAAAATTAGACTACGTGACGAACAAACGAAATATAATAAATTATATTTTATTAATTAAAAATAAAGAAATATTATAAATTGCCAAGAAGGTTATACAAATTGAAGAGACTACCTCTTAAGTTGCGGTATGAATTTACAATGTTTAAAACATGAGGTATGAGATGAGTGACAGAATTTGCAAAAATGCATAAATATTAGGACAGAAGCAATTATGGACAAAAATGTAGATGCAAGGTAAGAAACTAACAACTAATGATAACTGAATATTTTTTTTGTCAATAATCACACAATAACCATTTCAAGGATATTTATTTGCTGGTAAATTATCGTGGAATGAAACTTCATAATTGGTGAAATATCATTTCAATTTTTTTAAAATAATAGTGGATTGGGAAATAACATATTAGATATTTAAAAAATAATAGTAGGTGACCACTTAGTACTATGGTCTAGTGGTATTTCTCTTCATTTATAAGTGAGAGGTGTTAGGTTTGATTCTCGCCAAATGCGAATTTGAACAACATCATTGTTGTCTTGGTCTCGAGTTAGACACTTTCGATCTGTTTCCCGGCCAAACCACAACGATTTAGACGTCTAAAAGGGTACCATTCTCTTCGTCTCGTCGAGAAGTATGATTTTTATTTTTGAATCACTTGATTTCGTTGAGTATTGAAGAAGTTTTGAACGTTTAAAGTTTACCCAGTTTCCGGCGAGTTTCCAGTTTTCCCTCGGACCAGTCAACTTTGAGGCTATTTTCCAGCCATCTCCGGTAGCCATTGGGCTTCCAAATAGGTATAATCTTATTCTACACTTCCCTATCTTCATTTTGATATATTATTGGTCGAATTTGGTTAATAAACAATTGAGTTACGAAGCTTTAAAAATTGTTCAAACTTCCGACCAAGAGCTCTGGGACACTTAAAGAATGACCAAAATGATGAATGGTGGACAATCTCAGTGACCACCTTTATGGATTTGAAATGTTAGGAATGAGTTATGCAAATCTCAATGATCATTTTGGCTATTTAGCCTAAGTAAATAATTGACTTAGAATATCAAAAAGTAAAGTTTTTAGTTTTTAATTACGCAAAATAAAATTAAAATCGAGAAGGCTTTTGCTAAAATAAGCCCCTTCCATATACACAGTCGCACTACAAAATACAAAAGTAAAGCCAGATTCCAGAGGACTCCAGACACAAGTTTTTAACTCGTAAAACAAAAAACCTTGATCTTCAATTGGAGTTGTTAATAATCACGGTTAAAGAAAAGATGGGCAGAAAATTCTTCGTGGGTGGCAACTGGAAATGCGTATGTCTCTTTTTTTGGCGATTCCTAATTTCCTACTGTGCTTTTCGTTCTTGAATAGTGCCTTCCAATTTTTAGACGTTGGTTTGTTTTGGTGGGTTTTGAATGATGTCTCGTTTTGTATAAGATTTTTCGTAGTTTTGAAGATTTCGAATTTGTGTGAATTTTCAGATAAAAGTGTTTTGGGTTGGAATCTGTAATAAGTATCACAAACGTTGTGGTTTCTGGGTTTTTTTTTCCATTTTTTTTTAGTAAAATAGAAAGCAAAAAACACCAAAGTATTTAGCTTGAAGTGTTTTTTCTCTAAATTGTGATGTTATCAATGGCTTATATGTGAAAAAACCTTTTATTACTTTATTTATTTGTTGCAGAATGGGACAACTGCAGAGGTGAAGAAGATTGTTACTTCATTGAATGAAGCTGAAGTCCCTTCAGAAGATGTTGTGGGTAAGTTTTATACTTTGGTTTAGCTGGTTGTTTTCGACTTTTTGATTAACAACAGGTAGCGTTTTTCAAAAAATACACTGTAAAGAAAGCTCATTTGTCGGGAAAGTATTTCGATGTTTGATGTAGTTGTGGTTTTTTCTGTTATTGCAGAGGTTGTGGTGAGCCCTCCGTTTGTGTTTCTTTCTTTAGTGAAAAGTTTATTGCGGTCTGATTTCAATGTCGCGGCACAGAACTGTTGGGTGCGGAAAGGTGGTGCTTTTACCGGAGAGGTTAGGTATGTTTGTGTGCTATTTATCAAACCCTGTCTAATTTTACTGAACAAGTAATTTTCGCAAAATGATCGGTTTCTTGTTTGCTCAGTGTGGAGATGCTGGTGAATTTGGGCATTCCCTGGGTAATTATTGGTCACTCTGAAAGAAGACTTATTCTAAATGAGTCCAATGAGGTAACAACTGATGCAATACGACCTTTGAGTCTTCTCTCACCGGCTTGTGGTAGAGTACAGCTTTAAACAATCCTTCATGCTCTTGTGGTTCTGTTTCCACCCAGTTTGTTGGGGATAAGGTTTCTTATGCACTTTCTCAAGGCTTAAAGGTTATAGCTTGTGTTGGGGAGACTCTTGAGCAGAGAGAATCAGGATCTACAGTGGCTGTTGTTTCCGCGCAAACAAAAGCAATCGCAGGTGACCAAGAAAGATTTCCCATGTTCATTGTTTTGTATCTTATGATTTTTGGGGTGTCCGGAGACATTCCTGTAGTACTGATTGGTTCCAGGATCTCTGATTTTTGCTTCTGTCTGGGTTCTAAGTTTGCAAGGTTTAAATCGTCCGACGTTCTTCGTTTCTTTCCGCTTGATATCTGACCAGCTGAGTTTACTCTTTTTTCTCTTCCAGATAAAGTATCGAGCTGGGAGAACATTGTTTTGGCTTATGAGCCAGTTTGGGCAATTGGAACTGGGAAGGTTGCAAGCCCTGCTCAGGCTCAGGAAGTAAGTTTGGATGGATGAAACATTGTTTTATCTTGTATGTTTTGTTGTTTCAGTGAATGTTATCCTTGTTCTTGCAAGGATGCTGTAGCTCAGGTGTGACTCCTGTTTAAAATTGATATTTGTAAAGGTATATTCATAGAGCAATCTTGCTTTTGCGAATGTTAGCGCTTTGAGAAATAACCTCATGCTGTATGCATTACAATGCTAGTACGGTGAATTGTTATGCTTGCAAGAACTGTTATTGTCACATCTGGATTTCCAGTGCCCTCGTAAGTCCGTTACATTCATAAACAATACATCTGTCTGTCTTGTGTAACATCACTACATCAGTATCGATGACCTTTATGTAGGACGTCAGTTTATATTATGTTAGCTTGTTGGGTACATTTATGCCACATGTCCTAGTTGTTTGAAGTCAGATTCGGAACTTTGAGAGGAGAATCCTTTTATAGTTGCTCGTTCTGTCATACTGATCTATATGATAGTACAACTACATTGGTTTATTTCATTCTTTTTTAACTGGGAAACAAATGAACAATTTCCAATATGATTTCACTTGTGTACAATTTTGTTTACAATCCCATTCTTCGATCCTCATCTGAATGTAATATATGATTTGTGTGTTTGGTGTTCTATATTTTGTTAAGTTTTTGCATAAACAGTCTCATTTCTCATAAGCAGTTGTTAGATCCCTTGTTACACAAGTCTTGTATGTCAAGTTTGCTGAAGAGCTTTTTTACCAGGTCCATTTTGAATTGAGGAAATGGCTTCATGACAATGTTTGTGCTGAAGTTGCTGCATCAACCAGAATCATTTATGGAGGTATTCTTCGTATATTAGTATGAATACTATGCGTGTGCTATGTCTTTTATCTGGAGAGAAGTGTAAAAATTACCGACTAATCAGGATAAAAAGCAAGTTGTGCATAAGTGTTAAAACTTAAAAGGAATAATCTTATTATCATGTGTGTGGGGGATGGTTGGCTATTGCAGTGGTTCGGCTCTGTTAGTCATACCTGAATACAGAATTCTGAAGATCAAACCTGAATCTGAAATATATTGATCTCTGAGAATTCAAACTGTTTTTTCCAACATAAACCGGAAACAATTTTGTTGTTTGGGTTGCTTCAACTTTTAGGTTGAGAACCAATAAAGATGCACCCTTCACCCTGTTAGTCATATGTGTAGATAAATATCCCCGCGTGGCACAAAATGAACACAATAAAACCAATTGTCGAGAGGAGTGAATCACTCGACGTAATTCCTCCTGGTTGTGCAAAATTTTGTTAATCACATGCAATCACCTTCAGGTTCTGTAAATGGAGCAAACTGCACGGAGTTGGCAACACAGCCAGATATGGATGGATTTTTGGTTGGCGGAGCTTCCCTTAAGGTGATAACTTTTCTCTGCGCCGCGTCTCAATTATATGTTTGGTTTCTCTTCAAGTTTGGTTTCTGATTCTTTCACGCGCATTTTCTTTGGTTAGCCGGAGTTCATTGACATTATCGAGTCAGCTACAGTGAAGAAGAATGATTGAGGTCAAGAGGAAAAAAAAAGCCTTTGAGTTATAAACTTATAATTGTATCAGCTGCGAATAAGGAAAACCTTGTGGTTGTGTTGCCGAGCACACTCTCAATGTAATAAGTAACAATTCCTTTGTAACGAATGTAATTTGATTCAGTTGAAGTATGATTGTGAATTTGTAGATAAAATGTTTTTCTCCTACAGAAGGCCTGATTATAAGAGAAATTTTTCGGGTTGTCCCTCAGGACCGACCGCATTGCCTTCCACTCGCAAACATAAGCACCCGGCTCCAACCTCATTGTGTCTTGTTGACGGGCGGACACAAGAATCTCTCCTACCATAGAATACTGCCTTCTCTAGTGTGGAAACCTTAAAAGGAGACTTGATTATGTGTACCTGGTTTTGCAGTTGTGTTTCATTTGGGGTTCTTTTTGCTTTTCATTTTTTCTCTTGGACTGATAAGTAAGTGATTTGGTTCTTGGATTGAACTCTAAAGCGATTTGATATAAAATTTCAGATTTGGCCAGAGTGCTAATATGCATTTGAATCAAATCGTGCACACCCCTAAACTCGCTCATCGAAAAAGAATATTTTTCTGGTCGATAAAAATATGATGACTTGTTTGCAATAGTTTATTTATTTCAAGTGCGCTTAATGTCAAACGCATTGACCTAATGAGCCTGAGTGCACAATGTCGGTTGACTGTTGTCATTGCAATAATTCATTTGCAGATAAGAGCGGCCTGTAGTACACCGTTTTGTACGGTCCCAAAACATTCATTTGAAGCATGACCATCGGAGGTCTTGTGCCGGGGAAAGGCCGGTCCTGAGATTTTGGGATCCTGTGCGAGACTTGACCTTTAAATTGTATAAAATTTTCATTACTATGTTTTCTTTTACATTTTAATTTTTATGATTATGGATGAATTGAGATAAAAAAGCAAAACAAAACAAATTTAGGTGTGGTGGACTGGTGGTCAGGTACTTATTTGCATCCCTATGTTTTTGAGTTAGAAACTCCTTATTTATAAAATACAAAAAAAAAGAATAAAAGCCCTTAAAAGGTCTAACATTATAGTTGCTATGTTTTCTTTTACATTTTTAATCATAAAAAATGATAATATAAAAGAAAAAACAAATTCTTGGTGTGGTAGCTAGGTGCCTATTTACCTCCCCTAAGTTTTTGGGTTCAAAACACCATGCTTTTTTTCCAAAAAAAAAAAAAAAAACACCATGCTTTTAAATACCAAATTTTTTTTTAAATAAAACATTAAACCATGCTTTTAGATACCAAAATAATTAAAAATAAAACACACATAAAAGCCACAACTGGGAAGACTCAAACCCAGTTCCTAGATAGGGATAATACGCTCAGGACAATTGCACTGAGAGAACAATTTAGTATATTGTTGCACGTTTAAATTTATATATGAAATATACAAGTAAAGTAAAATCGTAAATCGGAGCCCTTCCGAATTTGAAGGCTCTGTGCGGCATCACTTGCACCTTTTCAGGGCCGGCACTAGCCGGGGGTCGTTTCGTCACTTAGTATTTGACTTTTGCTGAATTACGAAATATCATCGAGTGAACTTCGCCTTCCATTCGTATACTCCTATGCTCGTATGATTGACACGTAAAAGCAATGCAACTCGTCTATAAATACTACGAGTTGTGCTAGTATCAGTTCTCTTTTATTCAGGAAGTGTCAATAACTTGTTTATCTTATTTGTGGCTTAAATACAATGAGGTTTTAATTGCTTTTTTGGGCAATTTACATATGCAGTGAAGTGGAAGGAGCACTTTAAGGTGGATATGTGAATTTCCCTTACATGTGTGATTAATACCAATACTAAATAACAACCGACACTCGTTAATCTTAAGTCAGAGTCTTAACACCAACCCATATCTGCTTAGACCAACAAAAAGTTGTAAAAGCACATGCGGTTTAAAGTGCCTTTTTCCACTTGTACTTATAGTTTAGTAGATCCGATAACATTTATTTGTTTGTTGGCTAAGCTAAGATTAATCTCTTTTGCTTATTTATTCAAACAGCTAAACCAACAAAAGAAAAATAGGGCAGTCCTGTTTCTTAATATTTAATGTTCAAATGCATTAATGTACTGAGTACATCGTAATGACGTTTCAGTCCAGTACAATGTCATGTTAATTTTACTATACATATTTTGCGTTATTAAACTGAAACACTATTGTAACTGTGTGCTTGGTCTATCTAACTACTTATCCCACACGATGGTGAAAAGGAAATTTTGATTCGGCGCATGTAGATAAGAATATTGGACGTTGAATATGTTCAAAAAGGTTCAAACTCAGTAAGTAGATCCACACAAAAAGAAAAGAAAAGAAAATCTACCTCAGTAGTTTGTGTTAATTTTGATTTGTTGTCTGCTTGGTGTTCACTTACAAACATATGGCAATGTTATTAGCTACCTAAATTATTTTTTCGGTGAAAGAAGTTCCTAAATTCATTAAAAATTGCTAATTTTTATTTCTACTATTATATTTAAAGCTATTTTATCCATTTTTTCGTCAACTTAAATTACTTGACACATTTTAGACTGTAATACCGTCTTTTTCTCGCCAACAAGCCATTAACATTTCACATAGGTTACGAATTTAACATCTAATTTACCTCCAAAGTTAACTTCATGTACTATTTCTTTCTGAAAAATTGTCAATCTACCCTCTAACGTGTATCACATACAAGTAACGTGACTTAAATTGATGAAAAATTGAATATAGCAGATTCGAATATAATATTAGGGATGTATTTGGCGGATCTTTATAATTCAATGACTGATTTTTCTGATAAAATAGTTTATAGACCTAATTTTCACTCAAATGATAATTCAGAAACTAAATTGATAGTTCATCCATTTTTATATGCATCATATCATTTCTCTTTGTGATGTGAGCATTCAAATGTATTTTTTTTATGTGTCACTTGGTTATTGTTTTGGTTTGGGGTTTAGGATTTAGGTTTATGATTTAGGGTTTAGGATTGTAAACCTTAACTCGAGGTTTTCCATTTCTCAAACATGTGTATTATTATGCATCCACAGCCCTAATCCCATTATTTAGCCACCGTATATCCTCCTTGACAAAATACACTGTAATATGCATGGCGACATAAAAGTAAAGGAAAACTAATGAAAATAGCTTGAAAACTTTGAGTTTTAATAATAAAAACAAAATAAAGGGTAAAGTGAATAATATCAGGTTTAACTTTTTAGTGTAAAAATGTGGTTTTTCATTAAAGTGAACAGTATTGTGGGCTTTTCGTTAAAGCTTCCTATAAGTAATTCAATGAGAATGTACGGAATCTGACTTTAGTTCCCCGTCAATCTCGTTTTCGAGTCTACATATTGGCATCACCTTTTGACTGGTTTCTCACAGTTCTAGCCTTACGTTGTATAATATCATTTGCTTTTTATTCATCTCCCTTAATTTGGGGTTGTTCATTTTAACACACACATTGGACATTGCTTTCATAAATATATTAATATTATTATGAGAAGAGGGAACATTTAAACACGTAATATTTACAAAAGAAAAAAGTCACTTCAAATAAGTTATTATGCACTCGTCACCAGAACAATCATCATAAAAAGAGTGTTTATTCGTAGTATACCCTTCCAATTCATTTCATATTTCAACTCTTGTTTTTTCTTTCTTCTTCAACTCATTTTTGAAACAAAAAGCAATGCTCACTCGCCTTATCTGTCCCCTTACTAATCAATAAAAAATTAACAAATGAAAACGAGATTTATGAAACAATCATCATAAAAAGAGTGTTTACTCATGATATACCCTTCCAATTCATTTCATATTTCAACTCTTGTTTTTTCTTTCTCCTTCAACTCATTTTTGAAACAAAAAGCAATGCTCACTCGCCTTATCTATCCCCTTACTAATCAATAAAAAATTAACAAATGAAAACGAGATTTCTTTTTTTCATAAAAAGATTTTTTAAAACAAAGAAACCTTCACTGAATCAAGTAATTATTGTTTAAAATGTTAGACGAAAGTTAAAATGTCTCGATGAGTCTCCTCGACATTTTTTCCAAAGGAAAAGAATCAAGTAATTATTTTGTTTGTTAATTATTTTATTTTTTTTACAAGGATAATTATGGATACGTGAATTAATAATTTGTGGCCAACTTAAAATTGCTTTCTCGCTACTCTTCCAATTTGCTACGCAAGTTCTCGAAGTCGTCTTGACGGCACCGTTCCAGACAGCCAGCTCAGCTCCCACGGCTTATTCTCGGCTCGCTCCCTCCAGCCGACTTCTGGGCCACGTTCCACAGTTCCGCTGGTACGACACTTGGCAGACATGCCCCTGCGTGGGACCCTGGTCAAGTGGGTCCCGATACAAGACTTTTCGTGCGTAATCCGAAAGTTGTGGTCGGACGATCACAGTTAAGGTTCATGATGATCACAAATGTGAAAAATGGGCATTTCAATCGGCTGTAATTTTGTCAAAATAAGTGTGACATCATGCGTAGAGGAGGAATACGTAAGGCATACCAATGGAAATACGTCATTTGTCTGTTTAAAGGTGAGCCACCGCACTGGGCAATAGTTGGGAGAAATTTTACTGTATTGGAACGCAATCGGTGCACTAAGTGTCACAATATTTTTATTTCACATATTTAATTATTGTATTATGATATTTGATGTACTATGTATTAAGTTGTATTTTTTGAAACATTGAAAGATCCTCCAATGTTATATTTTATCCACTCTTTCCGTGGAGATTGAAAATGTAAATATTTTTTGGAGAACCTAAAAATCAATGTATTTAGCAAGTGGCATTTTATCATAATAGTGAAAAAATGTTGAGCTCTTGCATGACGGCGTTGTTCGAACTTTGTCGATGACTAATCTAACATTTGATCTAACAAAATCTATCGTTTACCAAAAAAAAAAATCAATGTGTTTAGTTGGTTTTGGTATATGCCACTGCCTCACGGGATTTAGGGTTTTCAAAAAGTCGGGAAGAGAAAGCATAGCTAGGGCATTTCTCCCCTCAATTTATGTAGGCCCTTATGCCAGCAACTAGGAATTTCTTGCTTTACAAAGATAGCAATATGAGCCACGAGTCATCCATGCCATTTTTCGTGTACATGCATGCAAAAGCACAACCAAATTTTTTTACTGAGGTCGGCTATAACTTTTGTTGCCCCGTTGCCCGTTTATGATGTGCAGTGGTAGATTGACGTTGTCTTGGAAGATGCTATATGTAGATGATATTTACTGGTTGGATATGTTGATTCAATAACGGTAAGATAATGGAAGCTCACTTAACTAATAATTCATATTGATCATATAACGTAACATGTGCATGCATGAATTAGTTAGGCAAACTGCTTCAAACAAATGATCACAAATGACCATTTGTTAATGTGCATGGATCTCATATATATGGTATTCATCAATCAACCGTTTTTAATAGCCAACGCATACATGAATGACTATATTCATTAGTACGACACTTCCAAAAAGTTATGTATTGAGCATATGAATAGTCGAACTGGTTAGGAGATCTATCAAATATGGATCAATAATGTTGGAAATTTTTGGAATGATTGAGGTAAAAGGAAGGGGAAAACACATGGAGTCACGTAAGCTATACGTGATGGTTTCAGCACTTTACAGCTAAGTGATTTTCTCTACGTTTTCTTGGTAAGTGAGGCAGATGGTTTTTCAACTTTTGATCGACACTGATCATGGTGTCTCACAAGAATCGCAATGGGTGGGTGGTGAGGCAACTTTCACGAGGGAACCTTCCTCCATTGGCAATACTCTGCTTGGCTTATATTTGGTGAAAAGACATGAAGGGCCAGTAAAATCCAGAAAACTAGAACTTATAAAAAGATGTGGATGGAGGGAGGGAGGGAGAGTATGAGAAGGTTCATAGATGGTCCCAGGAACCAATCATTCTGTGAAAAAACGTATGTTATGGGGCTCACGCCTAAAATAAATTACTCGCAATCCTTTAAGTGGTTATATCATTATTGGTTCTCGTCCATGAAACTATCAACTGATAAGTTTTTTAATATGATCGTTATATTGTTACGTGATATTACTAATCTGGTCATATTGTAATATGTATATCTCTATTTATTAATATTCTATCATATTATATAATGCATAGATAAGTACCATTACATGACAATTGGACCATGACGTTTAAAAGTTTTCTTGTCAAATTAACGTTACTCTTTAACGGAACAATCGATGACCCTATTTTTTGCTTTGGATGGGGGAGTGGTACCCTCAGTCGTGCTAATCACTTCTGTGTCTTCTGGACACAGCCATAGTTAATATGTGCCGGTGACGCCAACGATGGATGAACATTTTTTTATCTCTCAGAAGGTTAAGGTTTCCTTTAAAAGGAAAGTTCTTATTTGTTGTTTATAAGGCATGTCGGTAGACATAGCAAATTCACTTGGGACTAAGAGATTGGGACAGTGATTAGGTTTTATATTTTTTGCCAACTTTTGAAAGACAATGACAAAACTATCACTAACACCAATCAAAAGGGCTCAAAACATAATTAACCTTTATTAACCACGTATAATTGCATATATACAATCTTAATCAAACAAACTGCAAACTATTTTCCCTTCAAAATCATTTCTTTCAATGATAATTACTAACCGATTGTTATAAAGAAAACGTTATATACACGTGTAATATGCAAACAAACAAAAATGGGTCAAAAGAAGGTGACGAACTCTTTGATGGATGGATTGCAAATGATGGTATGTTTGCCCACTTGAATTATATTAACATATTTTAATTCATGATGCAAGAATAGCACATGTTTTGCAGATAATATGAGGCTACTTTAACATATTTTCTTGTTGGGTGCTAGGTTTATACTACTATTAAATTTTAATAATATTTTGTTAATTATAAAGTGGTTTTCTTTTGCACGACAATATTTTAGCTTAAAAGAGAAGTGCTACTATGCCCACCGTCTTTTACCGCCTCCATATATTTTGCCACCAACCATTAAAGCTAAAAACTATGGAGTACTATTTCAACACTCAACCTACTAATCTAATATCTAATTTACTAACGTTATTGTTCGACTAAAATATAAAAAAATTAAAAAAAACTCAGAATAATTTCTAAAATAACCTTTTTTTTTTTTTTGCTTTTCTGCCACCCACCTAAAATAACCTAAAAGTAAAAACAACGACAACCTAGCCGAACCATCCCCTCCCCCTAAAATACCAGCCGCCCATCCTCCCAAAATCCACCTGCACGACCACCCCCGATACCACAGGTGCGCCCACCAATTCCCAGAACCCACCCCAGTCCCAAATTTTGCAGAACCACCACAAACTGTCTACCTCCACCCATGTAGCCTCCTATGTGCACATTTCTAGTCTCGACTTCAAATCAATATGGCACACTATCACGAGAGAGGGGGGGGGGGGGGGGGCGGGGGGAGCGGGGGGAGCGGGTTAGGTGATGGGTTGGCTTGTCAAGGTTGGTTTGTGGGGGTGACGACGTTAGGATTTTTATTTTTAGCATTTTCAAATTTAATATTATTGCAAGAGGATAAATTTATCAACAAAATATTTAACTTGATGTGAGTAGAAAAATAAGACAAATGAGTGGATTTAGCAACACTCTAAAAAAATTTGAACTACACCACATAATAAATCAGACATAGGATACCAAATTTGTCATTCATATTAGCTAAAGTCTCACCTACAATGGAGAAAAATGCATTGAATTGTAATATTAATAACGAAAAAGTAATATTTTAAACAATTCTAACCTATGATAATTTTCTAGAGCTGCTAGACCCACTCTAGTGTCTAATTTCTCCACTCACATTATAATCTCACTCATCATAAAAAGTTATAAATTTGAAATACTATTTCCCCATCCACTACTGTTCCCAAAAAATTGAAATGTTATTTCCTCAACAACGAAGTTTTTTTCGACGAATATCTACCAGCAAATGAATGACTCTTCAAATGTTTTGCTGTTTTGTGATTAGGCACCCTACTAACTTACCATCAATATCCAATCATTATTAGTTATTAGCTTCTTACCCTTTAATTAGAAAATGCATCTTTCATTCTAGAATTTCTTTTATCCTCGTCCTTTATGCCTTTTTTTGTGAATTTTGCTTACCTATTGTCCATTCATTTCATAGCTTAACGTAAGTTTAGGGCTCCTGATTCCTGTTACCTTTTCGCGTCCAACATATTATTAATTAAAAAATCTTTATCAGTTATTTTACAAATAGACAAACTTGCAATCAAATTTTTATTAAAACATGAGCTTAGAGATAAGAAGGAGCGCACTACCCTAAGTTTTATATGCATCATTTTCTGCTTTTGCAACACACCATTTTTTCTATTTTTTCTCCCCCACAATACGATATCCAATAACTCTCACGTGCATGTGCATGTGCACAGAAGGTGGACAATTAACCAAAATTTTCTTTCGAAATGGACACTTAATCAAATTTGAAAAAGAAAAAGTACGGAAAAATTCAGTGCTAAATTAAATTAAGTTGCAGAGTCCCAAAGCTCCAAGGCTAAAGCCGAGCCATCTTACCCATTTCTCATGCTAAGAAGATTGGGATCTTTGAAAACCAAATCAAACGGCTAAAAGAAAGCTTAAGCAGATATGAGCAGCCTTATCTGCAGTGACTCGACTGAATAACATAGAGCAAGAGGAGGAGAGAGAGAGAGCAAAACCAAGGAACAGAGCTGTAGAAAACATTGAGCTGAAGAGCTTGCGGGACCAGCTCGCCATCAATGCATTGTTCCCCACCCTCCTTTACAGCCCAACCCTCGCTCCATCAAACCAAAAGCTTTAAGTCAACTTGCTCCTACTCAGAACAAAGAAACTCTTTCTTTTCTGCATCTCTGCACATTGGAAAGTAGAAACCAGCACACTAAAAAGCATAAACAACCCACCTCCCTCTCTGTTCTCTCTCTCTCTGACTCCATTCCAGTTTTCGAAAAAAAGAAGAGGTTGGTTTTTGGATTCATGGTTTTGTAGTTCATGGGTTTTTGTTAATTTTGTATTTAGATTAAGAAAGTTTCTTTCTTGTTTCGGAGAAAAACAAATTGAATTTTCAGTTAAAACCAGTCAATTTCGGGTTGAAAAGTTACTGCTTTTACTCTAGATCTGTCAGTTTTGAAGTTCATCTGAAGTGCTTTCAGCTGAAACAAAATTTGTGTGATCTGCAGGTGGAGAATTTGAAAAAAGCTGGTTGGTTTTTCTGGAGTAAGGTTTCATGGGGGTCTGCCTGAGCGCCCGAATCAAAGCTGAGAGCTCTGTTAATACAGGTACTCGCTTTATTTTTTTTATTACAATCGATATCAGTACTCCATGGGGAGGTTGGAACCCGGGAAACAGTGGATTGAAGAAGGCCTTATTCGCAAGGGCAATCCATCACTTGCGTACTTGCTTGATTTCGGTTCAGTTGTGTGTTTTCTTATCGATGCCTTGTCGGGGGCTGTATAAATTGATTTCCGCTTCACGTTTACTTGTGCAGGTTCAAAATTTGTTAGCAATGATGAGAACCTCAGCAGCACAAGCAGTAAGGTCTCATCATTTTCGGCACCTCCAACTCCTCGGAGCGAGGGCGAGATCTTGAAGTCTCCCAATCTGAAGAGCTTTAGTTATAATGACCTCAAATTGGCCACCAGGAATTTCCGTCCTGATAGTGTGTTGGGAGAAGGTGGATTTGGTTCGGTTTTCAAGGGGTGGATTGATGAAAATTCGTTCACTGCTGCAAAGCCCGGGAGTGGCATAGTTTTGGCTGTGAAACGGCTTAACCAAGAAAGTTTTCAGGGTCACCGAGAGTGGTTGGTGAGTTCTTTTCCCGACCGTATACTTCTCACAGAACGAAAACTTGCGCATTTATGACTTATCGTGTGCTTCCATTTGGGTTTTGTAGGCAGAAGTGAATTATCTAGGACAGCTCTATCATCCGAATCTCGTGAAACTAATCGGCTACTGCTTGGAGGATGAACACCGACTTCTGGTGTACGAATTCATGCCTCGAGGCAGCTTGGAAAACCATTTGTTCAGGAGTAAGTTCGTTTAGCAACATGTCTGGATACCTTTGAAACGAGATTGTTTTGAGAAGTTAATGTATTGACAGTCTTGAACTGATATTGTACCAGGAGGCTCTTATTTCCAACCTCTTTCCTGGAACCTCCGGATGAAGGTTGCCCTTGGTGCTGCAAAGGGGCTTGCTTTTCTTCACAGTGCTGAAACAAAAGTGATATACCGAGATTTCAAGACGTCAAACATCCTGATTGATTCGGTATGTGACTATCGAATGTGTTCATTGCAATATTATTGATTTGTGATATCCTGAGAATTCCATTGATTTGTGATGTAATTCCAGAACTACAATGCAAAACTTTCCGACTTTGGTTTGGCCAAGGACGGGCCAACGGGTGATAAAAGCCACGTCTCCACGAGGGTCATGGGTACCTACGGATACGCAGCTCCAGAATATCTAGCCACAGGTATTATACTTCGATTCCGCCCGTTGGCATCTCCGATCCGGGAGTATATATTCATTTTAAGTGGTCAACTGACTTGGAATCTCTAGTTTTTTTTTGACAATTCAACTTGGAATCTTGCCATGTGCTTTGGTTCATATTCCTGATTAGCGTATATCAAAATCGATGCCTGTGTAACGGCTCCACTTTTCACTGATTCCAGGTCATCTGACTGCCAAGAGCGACATATATAGCTTCGGAGTCGTTTTGTTGGAGATGTTATCTGGCCGGAGAGCAGTTGACAAGAATCGGCCATCCGGAGAACACAATCTGGTGGAGTGGGCTAAACCCTTCTTGGCAAACAAGCGTAAGATCTTTCGCATCATAGACAACCGTCTGGAAGGCCAGTATTCAATGGACGGAGCTCACAAGGCGGCTACCCTTGCAGCACGATGCATATCCGCAGAATCCAAGCTCAGGCCAAACATGGACGAGGTCGTAACTACACTTGAACAACTGCAAGATTCTAATGCCACCGGAGGCACTCAGAGTAATGGTCAAAGGATGCGCAGACGAAGTGCAGACGATGCTAACAATGCCAAGCGCGCAGCAGATGATGCCTTAAGGGCAGCTAACAAGGCAACGAATACCGTCGCCTATCCTCGGCCATCTGCTTCCCCACTTTACGCTTGAGAATAGAGTCGAAGTAAATGCAAAACGCTGCTGCAATATACGAATGTTTGTCCGGTGATCGTACAGTTTATTCCGGCTAAATGTTATTCAAAATTCAGCATTTTATTGACAAATTAGGTGAGCTTGTGACGATGTTGTACCTTCTTAATCACCAAATTGTAACTTTAGCTGTTCCATTTCCTGCATAGCTGCATTTTTTTAACCTTTTCTTTATTTATACCTAATACTTTTGGTCCTGGTAAATGGAGATTTCTTCAATTTCTATATTTTTCTCAAAAGCATGAAAACTTCAGTAATCAACAATAATAAACAGTAAACAAGTATGCAAGCAATGGAATGCTCAACTGGTTAGGAATCATGATCTTTCTCTTCAACTCATTGCGTTTCAGGATGACCCTTGATCTTTTTCCACAAGGATCACAGATGAGAGAACTCAAGAAGAGCTGCCGACTCCAACTTAGTCCTACGATCCATACTAGACTTGACCAACTGGTGACGATCCATACTAGACTTGACCAACTGGTGGCGAACTCGCTTTAGGAGAAAAACGTATTAGTAGCTTATATGCCATGGGAATGTTACAATTCTGAAGATGCGGCACTCATTAGTGAGAGTAGGCATGGAGATGGGATTTCGAGGAAGAACAGAAGATGGAAAATGAATGTAAGCATGGAGAAGGGATTTCGAGGAAGAACAGAAGATGGAAAATGAATGGAGGAATGGAGAACCCTAGAGCAAAAGCTCATTGGCGACATCGAAAATGAATATGTGTTGCAATATTATCGGTTCATGTCATTCGGTAAGAAAATGAGGTCCGGCTTGATTAGGAATGTTTCCTTCGGCTTAATTAGGCCCAGGAATATTCTATCGTTTATGGGCTTGGAACCTCCCTCCTTGTGGAGTGAGCTTGCCGTAATTTGAATTCTTCTTTGAACGTAGAGACATCTATAAGGAAAGCTTTCACATTTGGATTACAAAACTCATTTGACATTGGACTGCCATCGTTCCCGCTCACCTCTACGACGTGTGAGGACTCGTTACACGGAAGAGAGAATGAACTTGTGCCACACATTTTGTGCATTAATGAAACGGACGCGTGCCTCAAATGTGCAGTGTCCCTTTACAAATTATATTTACAGCCATCTACCGAAAAGGAAAAAGAATGGATAGGGAATCCTGTACCTCTGTAATATTTGAACAAGAAGCATCTGTTGTTCTCGATGTCAAGGTCGAAATGCGCCTGTTGGTTCTTTTCTGCCACAAGCTGGCTGAATGCTTGATCACCAAGTTCTTATCAACCCCGGGGTCCAGTTTCTCCAATCCAACTTCCCAATAGATTTGTTTCTAAAGTTAACCATGTCTTTTATGTCAAAAACCCTCTTTTTGTTTCCTTGTTTGGTAGACTCGATCTCAGTCTCCTCCACGGTTTCTTCATTTGATTCTTCAGTTTCAATCACAGGTTCAGGGACTACTTCGTCTTGAGGTGACAGCTCATCTATGATGCATCCCAAAACCCCAACCACCTCACTCATTTTTGGGCGAGACTTTGGTTGCTTTGATAGACACCGGTTAGCTAATGATGCAAGGTTTTGAGCTGATTTGATACTATACTGTCCTTCAAGCCGAGGGTCCAAAATAAGGTGGAATTTCTTTGAGTCTGGAACATAGGGCTTGACCCATTCCAAAAGCTTTTGCTCACTGCGGGGCAAATTTCTCTCCACCGCCCTCCTTCCTGTGATGAGCTCGTACAGAACCACTCCGAAGCTCCACACATCACTTTTAGCAGTCAGCTTCCCCGTATGTACATATTCAGGAGCCGCATAACCTACTGTTCCCACAACCTATAAAAGCGAATATTCATGGTAAGTAATGCATTTCCCAGAATGCAGGACTTATAATTCACCAGAAACAAGCAAAGAAGTTGGTTTCCATCATTAACAGGTCCCATTTCACAGGAGTGTAGCCATCGGTTAAGTCTTTCAAGAAATTTTGGAAGTGGCAAAGAGGGCCTAGAATCTTCAGACAACCATTTACTTTTACTTTTATCACTAATATCTCCTTGGTGAAACACTGAAACGAGTGGCTTGTGTCCCAAAACTCCCAACACCTAAAGAGCACGATCTGCCCAAATACATTCTAGAAAGACAAACTGCTCTACCCAAAAGATAGTACAACTTACTGTTGTTGAAACGTGACTTGTCCCCTCTGGAGGTCCCTGCCTCGCTAGTCCAAAGTCTGAAAGCTTTGCATTGAAGTCCTCATCTAGCAGAATATTTGATGGTTTAAAGTCGCGGAATATTAGCTGCACCAGTTACAAGGAAGATCCAAATCATATCAGCGAACAGCTAAGTAACCTAAACACAATACGGACTACCGGATATAAGAAAAGTAATGGGAAGCATTTACTTGCAGATATCATCTGCTATAAAAATGGGAAAATTTAGGCACAAAAGACTGTTTGGAGGGATTTGCAAGTGCCAAGGGATATAGGCTAAGTTAGAAATGCACCACAGAATAACGTGAGAACAGTGTCTTCATAAACAATATAGCATACCTGAAAATCCATCTCTTCATGTAGATATGCCAATCCGCGGGCTGCATCTTGAGCGATTCTTAGTCTTGTCATCCATGGGAGAGATGATGAAGATCGAACCAATAGATGGTCCTCCAAGCTTTTATTACGCATAAGTTCATAAACCAATAGCCGTTGAATCCCCCTTTCATCATCTTCTGCACAGTATCCTACTAACTTAACAAGATTTGGGTGCTTGACAACGCCCAACAAGTTTACTTCATTAATCCATTCCTTATGCCCCTGAATACTAGAACGTAAAATACTGCAACCCCGTTAGACAACCTCAAAAACTTGAAAACCTACAATCTCAAATATAGAGCATGTAAAGTAAAGCTACATTCAGACCGTTCAAATAAATCCTTAATCGAAACCAACCACTAATCAAATTATCCTACAAGCAAAACACACTTGCAGCATAAGAGCTCGTTTGAAAGTGTTTTTAAAATGACAGAAAACACTTTTAGAAATAATGTTTCTAGGTTCCAAAAGCACTTTGAAGTGCTTTTCATTGATTCACTTGTATTTTTACTAAAGATTGGTTCCAAAAACATTTTCACAAAAAAACTTTCAGCCATTTTAAAAGCAGCTCTAAACAAGCCCTAAATCTATACAACAGTCAGTGTACCAGCAATGTTAACAACCTTCAACTAGCTGAAATGACACAAATCCCATCTCTAATTCAAACGAACTTTCAACTCCAACCCCACAAATTTTACAAGAAACAAAAACAAAGCAGAACCCACAAAGCAAAAGCCACAGAAAAAAAAAAAAAAAAGCACAAAGGTGAACACTGAACAAAATTGATTCCCAAACAGTTAAAGTGGATGGCTTGAGAAATTCAAATAAAAAATATAAAAAATTGCCAAATAAAAATTTGTAAAATTGCAATCCCATACTACATTTTCTAGCGATTAAAACACTAAAAATTCCAAACTTTTCGCAAAACCATCAACATTTTTGACAATTACAAACCCAAAAATTCAAAACAAAAATTAAAAGGGGATCAAAGAGCATGCCTGGAAGCCATTCCGATTCAACTGTTTGATAGCGACGTCCATTTTCCCGTCGCCGACGTTACAGCCTCTGACGATTCCTCTGTAAACGCACCCAAAACCACCTTCTCCAATCAGTAACGCCCTGCTGAACCCCTTGCTCGCCGCCTTCAGCTCCGAGAACGTGAACACCCTCAGAACATTGGCCCGCCGCAGACTCAGCAGCTCCTGGAACGCCACCGAGTCGGACAGGTCCCTCGAGTCCGAGTCGAACTCGGACCGCCGAGTGGTGCCGTAGCTGCTGGAGGCCACACTGAGGGAGCGCACCCACGACACCTTCGACGTCGCCCGGGGAATGACGCCGGGTTCCTCGTTGTCCCGCCCCTCCCCGTTAGTGAAATGGAAGCACTTCATCAGCTCAGAAGAAAATCCGGCGAAGTTCAAAAGTTGCAGAGAGAGAGCGTCAAGAGAGAGGGGCTTGGAATTGGATCACAAGTCAGACCAACGAAGTTGGACAATATATTTTTGTCTTTATATTTTAAAATGCTGAATTTTAAGAAATTGGGCGGCGATTTTGTTGAGAAAAATAAAAAGAGTGAGATTTTACTTTTATTACTATACTTTGTGTATCGAAACGTGTTTTCATAAAACATTTCTCAATAAAAAAGGCAGATGCCAACCAAAAAGTGCGTTGTTTCAATATGAAGCAACATTGGAGTACAATAATCGAAACAAGCTAGTTTTAGGTGGGGATGTTAATCGGTTGAACTTCAACTCTTGTTCGCCTTGGTTTTTACTTGTTCAAGTTCGATTTGTAAAAAAATGAGCCGGGTTGAACAACGATTAAGCTCGCTAGAAAAATAAGTTCAATTTAAGCTTCTGTATAAACAAAAAAATGCAAGAAATTATTGCAAAAATTATTATTAACACTTCAAAAATATTATTATAAAATTTTCAAATGTCGTTTATCGTTTCTATTTGGAAGACGAATCTCGTTCTATTTTTTACTAAATGCCCACGTATTCTCAATACATTTATAAATTCATAACGAAATATTTGATGTGCCAAGTAACCATTCAGACTGGAAATATTGTTTCAATTGACAATGATTTAGTTTATTAGCCTCCACCATGTGGAAGTATTGCAAATTTTTTATCGATCTATTTATTTTATCATTTGTTGTATTTTGTGTGTCGTTTTTGCAGTGGATCACGAGCGACTGCAGAGTTTACTGCTCTGACGTGTCAGCTTTTGTAGGAGGGCCCCCATTAGTTCGTTGAAGGGTATAATAGGTATTTTACGTGTCTGCTTGTTTGGTCTTTTGAATTTTGATTAGGTCAAGTTGTTTGCCAACAAGATCCCTTTTGGTGAGGATAGTTGGTGAGAATCTACATCGTGTCCGTTTTCGTATATAGTACGGTCAGTTTTTATCATATACTATTTATATTTAATTTTAAATAAAAAATATTTAAAATAATTCATGATCGTACGATGTATGATAAACGGATATGATTCACGAATTTTCAAGATTCTTACAAAAAAAATCCAACGAGGATCCAGATTCGGTTGTTCGGTCACCTCCAAGTCTCTCTTTCTTTATCCTCAAACTTGTCCTGCAGTCCATGGCTTCTAGAAATGCGTGCGCAAAATCATTCCTTTAAAAATATGGTAAAAAT